GGAGGGTGGGAAATAAACTGCAAAGCAAATGTAGGATTGGTCTGGATAGCTTTTCTCAATCGGAGTCTTTCAGAAGAAACAGCCCAGTTCCTATCAACTCCATTACAGGGAGTGCCTGAGAGAAATTAATTCTTATAAAGCTAGTGATAAGAACAGGACAAGACAGGTTACACATGAGAGGGGGCTGCTTGGACCATCTAAGAAATGACCCACATTTCTTTCCAATTTCCCCAATACAAGAAAACAGATTTTCAGTCCTCAAACTGGTAACTCAATGAGTGAACTACTCGTTTCCCTTCGCTATGTCCAGCTCCGTATCTGGGCCTCGAACTGTCGTAAGAGAGCCGTTTTACCTCAGCCGGCCCCCTGGCCTGGCGCAACAGAGCCAGTTAACCTCATCTCCACTCTCTTTCCTCTAAGAGCTCCTTCTGAATGAACAGCTTTTAAAGGACACCACACCGCCAGCTCACTTACACAAGCGACAGGCTCTCGGATGATTGCGGGGAACAAAGAGAAGCTGTTGAAGTGCCTCTTGGAATAGAGGATGGGGGGGAGGGTTAGTAAGTGGTTTTGCAGCAGAAAGATTAATAGGCGTCTTCATGCAACATCAGTGGTTTCCAGCTGTAATTAAGCACACAACTGTTGCAAGCACTCCCCTACCCACTACGTGCCCCTGGGCAGTGGTGGGAGAACAGGGCCATTAATGACTTGTGAAGGGGACGTCTATGCAGAACAACACCACAGATGCTTTCACCATCCCAAGGGCAGCAGCTGTGTTTTCCAAGCCAGCTCCTTATCAGAATCGCAGTCTTAATAGGAGAAATGGGCATGTCATCCAGTTCCACAGGGGACCTCTGCTCTGGGCTCGGTGCAGAATGCAGGCGGGGTAACTGTTGTTGATCTTGACAGGTTAGCCGTGGTACAGAGGTGGAGGGAGAGGCCAGCGCACAGCAGCGGCTCACTCAGTAATGAAAGCCGCTTGGTGATCTGTGCAGAACCGTCATAGAGTTCACAGAGTCGCAGAGCAGCTCGGTGAAGCTTGGTAGAAAGATGTAGAGGGTCTGCTCTTTTAACAAACTCCATTGTTTTCAACGGCCTTTTATAATCCAAGCATGGTCCCGATCAACCTCTTGTGTTACCCTAAATGTCACGTTTAAGACAGGGAAGTAGCATGTAAAAAGACACACAGGTATGGGAATATTTTAAACCGCCAACACCTGTATTCTGATGTCCAGCTGTCCAGGAGAATCACACACTTTCCAGTCTGTCCCTGCCAGAGTCAAACAATAGGTGTGCTGCCTGCTTTAGCAAAGTAAGGTGCTAAGCTTAACATAATTCGACAGCAGAACGGTACACCCCTGCTAACCCTCATCTAGGCAAAACAACAAAGAGTGCTGCTCAGAGAGGTCATGTTGAGTCTGTGAAATAGAGGTCAGGATTTTTCCATCTTACAACTGCTAGCTGAGGGTGAGGGTGCCCACTGTTTCATCTGTGCCCCAGGCAGCGAAAATAATCAATGAGTCACTTTAGCAGGGTCTAGCCTTACAGCAATGTCCACCAATGTCTAGTACAAAACCACAGGAAATGCATGGTAGATGATGCAATAGTATGCTCACTTACTGCAGTAAACCTTTGAAATGGTACAGCACGGAGGTCTATTGGAAGGTAGAGAGATCTATTTTGTCTAGACCTGAAGATGACAGTCTTATAGTTATCAAAGGGAGAACAGAAACTGCCCATAAAGGACTCTGAAATGAACACTGAAATATTTGCTAATATAAACCCAGGCCTGGTTTAGAAACTAGTATAAAAGGCAAAGGGAGAAATCAAAGCAGTCTGGGTTCACACTTCAGAGTTTAATAGCCTGTCAAGGTGATGGATACAACAGACCTCGATGCACCTGGGGGCTCAGGAGTTCTGAAACACTGAGGAGCCAACAAGCCTGCGTGCTGGAGCTGCAAGCACTACAGACTGCTAGCGAAGAGAACATCGAGACGGCAACAAAACAAAAACATGCTTCTCCAACGGCATCCTGTTTGTCTTGGGCCTGACAGGTCTGATCTGATCAGGGCAGAGAGCAAGCACCGGGGAAAGAAGCCGCAGTGCCGCTAATTGGGCTGTGAAGCCCAGGCAGAGGCGGGACTGTTTATTCTGCAAAAAGAGCTGCAAAACACCTGTCAGGTTCAATAAGGCAGCCTGCGACTCTCCTCAGCTCAACGCACTGCAGGAGCTCTGCACCTTAACGCGGAAAATGAAACGGATCATGTAAGCGATCTGGCAGCAGGACGCCAAACTCCCGAACGAGCAGCGACTTCCTGGCTAATCAACTCAGTGTCTCCGCTCATTAAGACTGGCGCCAACCGTGGAACTTTTCTGCGAGCCGGGGTAATTGGGGCGGCTCGTTTTCTGGTTTGAAGCAAATGCTCATCCCACACTCAACTCCATGGTGCACCAGATGGCTACAGAGCCGGGCTGCGGACTGCAGTTCCTGCTCCCTCGTCCGCCTGTGGCCGGTGTGAGAGTCCATTGGAAACACTGGAAGTCTAGTGGCAGGAACGCATCTGGACCTCTTCTCCTCTGGCCCCTTAATGCTGGCCTGCAGCGAGAGGCCTCTGAAATACCGGAATCGGTCCAGAAATCTTCAGCAGCAGCACAGCCAGACAGTGAAATCACATGAATGGTTGCAGCCGAGAGCTGGAGACAGCTCACCAATCCGGATCGATATGCTGCAAGTACCTGGATTCTACCAAGCTACAGATCCCTGGAAATCTACCCCACCTCTGGGTGGATTTCTGGCCAGCGTCCCATGTCCTGGGAGTTTTGCATGCAATTGGATAGAATCACTGAGGGTCTGCGCCCCTCTCACATGCATCTTGGAAGTCGCCCTATATCTCCCCCAGGAAGCTTGTACTTTGAGCCGCCATTCGAAAATATACCGATCTCCCTTCTCCACCTCTCTACCAGGGTGTCAAACCACCAGGGAAGAAAAACAAATGTTTTCAAGTCGAGCTATTTTTGGAAGAGGCTCAATTTGTCCTTTATCAAGCCTGTCCTCTACGTCACTACCCTCTCGTTAACCCACTATAACATAGGCATGGGACTCATGCCACTCCCTCAGGGGCACAAACAAATTGGAGAGAAAAGCTGGGTACCAGTCATGAGGCACACAGGAGCACCGTAAGAACACAGCTACAAAGGAGAGGCGGTCTGTCCAATCAGGCTCAAGCAGTTAACTGCTTTTTGAACCCAGAACTTCACTTCAGTCAGTTCTTAATGATCGCAGCCGGCCAACAGCAGTAGCAAAGGTAGGTTTATTGCAGACCTGCTCGAGTTTGAAAGCGAAGAAACGCATCTTGTTCTCAGTACTGCTCCTAATTTCCACTTGTGCCACAAGATGCACGTTTCATCGCTGAGCCTGAGGCAGACCCTGGGAGACTGCTGCCGCGAGCTGTGGACACGAGAGGTTCTCGAATCAATAAGCTACTAAGCTTTCAGCCCTTCAGTCTTTACATTAGGAAAAGTGTCATGTCTCAGCTCTGGCACGATTAACTTTCAAATAGATGCCTGCTTGCTTATTAACATTGCTACACTGGGACCCAGAGCATTATTTTCTAAAGGCAATATGGTCAACAGACCTACGTGGTTTTTAGACTCCAGATGTCAAACATTTTAATCAGGTCAGTAAAGCACATTTATACTGGCATGCGAGTGCACACAGACACATAGACCTGTGCTTAACTGCTTCCATATCCCTGCCGCCTCAGCCTTCTAAAGATCCGTGCTTCAGCAGAGACGGACCCCTGGGTTTCTGCCATGGCAGGGCTCAGTTAGCCTGCAGGGCCTGTCAGTTAAAGTGCCAGAGGGCTCAGAAGCTTGCTCCCCACCTCGGCCTTGCTGATCATCAGCTGGGGGCTCTGTGTGATGAAACGGGCTGCTGTGCTTGTGAAGAATGAGCCTGAAGACCTTTCTCGCAGGGAGGAGAGAGCAGCTCCCCCCAGCCCTAGGCCAGCTAAGCTTCAGTCGCCAGCCTCAGAGCAGTGAAAGCAGAAGAAAAGGGTCAGCCTGGGGAATGGAAGATCAAGAACGGAGGGAGAACAGAAGAGAAGCAAGAACGCAGCACAGAAAGCCCAGTTCTGTAATGTTTCAGCAACACTGCTAGCAAAGCAATCAATCGGGGGGAAAAAGGAAAAACGCTTCATAATACTTAAAGCATTAGTCACATAGATGTAAAGGTCATATAAATCTTCCTGTGATATTAATCCATTGATTTTGTGCTGTTGCCAGAACCAATGAAGCATAAATATATAAAAATAACAGCTCTCCAGTCAAACACAGTGTCGAGCCCAGCAAAGCTTCCTGATGTAACAATGCAAAACACTTTGGACTGCAACAGCCCTAGCAAGACAGGCCAGAGGAGGCCGCAGGCCCTACTGAACCACACAGGGGCCCAGGGACAGAAGGAGGAGACTTAACGGAAAGGCTGAGTAGGAATACACATGGCTTAAAGCATGGGCAGTTCATTTCATTTCCCTGAAGGTCAAGCTCGTCAATGATGATCTAAGCCACGTTCCACAGCAGGGCAAGGAAAATGAAAAACATACACATTTTGTGTGGCTTGGAAACGCAAGATCAGCTGCCTGGTCTGTCAAGTGAAAGGACCAAGGTGAGAAAAAGGACATCCTACTTAAAACATGGCCCTTCCTCCTCCCTATGCATACTACTGCCCTCCCGATTTTCTACTGCTGGAGCTAGGACACCTTTACAAGACCCCCACATAAAGGCCACCATCTCCAAGGCCACTACATTTACACTCAAGCCAGCAGGGAACAGCAATTCACAAGAGAGGCTTTAAAGCTCAAAACAATAGCTAAGAAATAAGAAGTTCTCTGTTGCCATCTGCTGGGAAAAGAAAGCATTACAATGACCGTTGCACAGCCCAGCTGTTTATAAAACCAAAGATACCCTCTAATTCGCCTGTCTTTTCCCTATTACAGCAAAAATCATGTGGAAAAAAATCTTTATTATCATTTGTAAGCGCGGACTTTACACAAAAAAGTCTGCCAAACGGGTGCGGTGGTGACACACATCACGTGATTGAGCGGAGCAACGCTCGACTGCGCACACGGGAAAGGTGACCTGGTCCATAAGCTCCGACCAGCTTCACCGGGGGCGGCTCAACAGAGTCTCGGCCCCACTTGTCCACGGCCTCCAAAATCAGTCTTTACCCTACTCCGTGAGGCTGTGTAACTCAAACCCCACAGACGAAGGTGCTTTACAATAGCAGGATGGCATTGCGGTGAAGTCTTGGGGTCTCCGGTGGACCCCAATCAGAATCCCACAGACTGTTCCAGGAGGACTGGCTGGGAAAGGTGAACGCTCACAATGGAGGATGGAAAAAATGCTCACAATGGAGAACAGCACAGAGAAGACTGACCAGATGGGTGCAGAAAGGAAGGTTTTACACAGAGAAATTCCAGACCCTGAAAGGGATTGGGAAAGCTAAGCCACTGCATGATCGTGTGGTCACTAAGGCACAAGGCCACGACAAATCCAGACTGCAAGTATTCCAATGGCTTCCTCTGGCTAGATGGAAATGTCTCTGTCCAGCACCTGGCGGTACGGGAGGCTACGTTGTGAGTGCTGCTCGGCACAGCCCAGACCACCACCGAAGGGGCTGGGCGAAAGGCAGATGCAAATGCAGCCCCAGTTGTCCAGATGTTTGGGGGCTCTCCCTAGGTATCGGAGTCCATGTCGCTGTCCCCCCCAATGGAACGGAAGTCCTCGCTGTCGTCCTCGTCTTCGCTCAGGTGGACCTGCGAGAGCACGCAGGGTCCGTGCCGCCGCCCCGCATCTTCTTCCTCCTCTTCCTCGTCCTCCTCCTCCTCTTCACTCAGCCCGTAGCCCGCGCTGCTGCCCAGGCTGGCAGGGTGCCGGCGGGTGCGCCCCTCCCCCTCCTCGTAGCTGCCATAGCTAAGAAGAACGGGAAGCGAGCAGGAGAAGGGGACGTGAGTATTTCACCCATGAGAGCAAATCCACAGCTTTCGACTGATCACTACAGCTCCTTTCGAGATCACCGTCAGAGGCCATCAGCAACACTTAAATTAACCAGGAAGAGGATGGCTGTGGAACAAGGGAGTCACGGAGAGAGAGACCGCGGCCCACCTGATGTTGCTGTCCTCCAGCTGCGAGTGCTCGGCGCCGTCCCCCTCGAAAGACATCATGCTCTCGTCCTGGTCCAGCCCCAGCCGCGCCGTCTCCTGGTGGACCCGCGGCTGCTGGGGACGCATCCCCCCCTCCGGTTCCGAGTCGCTGCCGCTCTCGCTCAGGTGGAATGCTGGGGGGGACAAGCGAGAGGTCAGACGTGCTGCCTTACCCACTCGGGCCCAGGGGGGAGCGTCCCCCTGTGGGCAATCTGCTTGGTTCTTGATGGGTCGATCGATTGCCCACATGGGCAATGAGGACCTCACTCTCCACCACAGAATCTCAAATGTTATTTCACACGCACACACACACATTCCCAGGCGTGCACACACACACATTCCCAGGCGCGCACCCAGGCACACACACATTCCCAGGCGCGCACCCAGGCACACACACATTCCCAGGCACACACACTCCCAGGCACACAGGCGCGCACACACACTCCCAGGCACACAGGCGCGCACACACACACTGCATGCCCACTGGCCACTGGGGCTCTGACTTACAGGAGAACGGGTTGTCTCCCTCTTCCTCGCTGGCCTCATCATCCTCGCCGTCCGACATCAGCAGGTCCTGGTACAGCACGCTGGCCTGCGCAGGCCGCGATGAGCCTTCGTCGTCGTCCTCATCCTCGCACCGCCGCTGGGACAGATCCTCGTCCTCCTCTTCCAGGTCCCCATCTCCATCGTCCGCCTGGGGGAAGACAGGGAAGAAGAGGGGTGCGCAGGAAGGTTAAAACATCTTTTTCTTCCACTCCTTGCTACACTATTCATCTTGTATGTAGCTTGTCAGACCAACACATTCCCTAACCTGACAGAGGCAGAGACTGTGCAGGAGAAGGAGAAAAATCAGCCCTGATTTCAGATCACAACCTTTCGCTTTAATCAGGAGAGAATGCAGGGCAATCTGTAGGGGCTTGGAGCCCAAACTGGGCTTTAGGGGCTTAGTTTTTCTAGCATGACCAGAGGAAGGACAGAGAGGGACACCCAGCCCCTCTAACACACCAGTCTCTAAATGCTCTGTCAGTCTCAGTCATCATTCTGAAAGACCACCACGGTAACCCATCAAGACCCTTTACAATCAGACAATTCATCATTATGTCTGCCACTTCCAGATCTCTGATCTATGTAAGGATATTGAGCTCCCTCTCACACCCGGTCCTGGAGAGCTGCAACCCTGTGAGGAGCACAGAGGGAGAGGGTGCCCGGCCACCTCATCACAAGCAAACACGACAAGCAGCCCAAGAGTAAGAGACAGGACAGAGGAATGAGGTGTCAGCCCTTCTCTCCTTCATCTCCATCCCCCCCCACCCCAAGGGAGGCACAAGTCTTACAGGAGTTGGGGTCTTGGGCTTGCCATCATCCTCTTCCTCAAATCCTTCTATGTCCACATCCGACTCTTCCTCACCGAGTCGGCCTCGCCCATGACGCGCCTGGAAATGGGGGAGAGACGACGAGGGGTCCAGGAGCGAGGGAGAGAGAGGAGCCAACAGCAGATGCAGACGGGAAGAGAGAAACAGGCGACAAAGAGAGACGGAAGAGTGGCGGCAGGGGACAGAGGCCAGCGGGATGCCAACAGAGGAGGGAGGGAGGCAGAGCGGACAGAAAGAAAACAAGAGGGAAAAGACGAGATCATTCACCAGCAGAAACAAAGGGCATTCAGCCATGCTTCATCACTCTCCCCGCCCTCTCCCTCATTCCAAGACTCGGATTATTCTCGACTTCTAATTTGCCCTGCCAGCCTGTCTGCTCACCTGCCCGCCCCTCTTCTCGGGCGTGGTGGTGGGCGTGGCATCGGCGTACAGACTGGGATCCCTCGGGAGGCTCATGGATGTGCTGGAGTCGTACAGGTCAGGAGGCTGGGGACGGAGAAGGCGGTGAGGTCACAAGGTTGGGGAAGAAGACACAAAATTAGCTCCGCCCACGTCTCCGTTTTTTGGACAAATTCTGGTAGCAATATGTTTCGGGGGTTACCTGCGGGGTGTAGGGCCCAGGTGTCATGGGGTCAAGGCTCTCCAGGTCAGCCGCATCCAGAGCTGCCTCCTTGGCTGTAGAGATGTCCTTCTCCAGCTGAGTCAGGTGTTCATCATACTGAGTGAGGACAGACAGCACATTCACATATTGAAGACAGGCAGCGCTGTTTGACACCGACCGGTTCGGCAGGAGCATGACGCACTGATCGCAAGAAGATAGTGCCATCGCACAATGAGAACTGAGAAGTTGCATGCTGGGACAGTGACTGAAGACAGAGGGAGCAGGGAGCACGACAGAAAGGCAGCCATTTCCTCACCTCAGCTAGCGTCTGCTTGCAGACATTGACAATCTCCTGAGCGGTCTTGGTGTAGGGGCTGTCGGGGCCTGAAACAGACAGACGCCCATGGTGAGAATGCATTCCCCAGACTTCAGAAAGGGGCCTTTCTTATATAGTTGACTACAGCGCCCACGCCAACCCCTCCAGAAAGCACCGATTTCCCCCCTTCACACACTTACAGTCCAGCTCACCATTATACTTCACACTGTTGGTATAGATAAGATTGACATCATCGAGAAAAGCCTCTCTGTTCTGGTACTTGTGCTTTGAGATGTTCTGCAAGGATACAAAAACACAGACCCCATCAGCATCAGATCAAACCAATGAACAGACAGAGACCTTAAGAGAAAGAAAGGCTGCCCTCACCTTGCGGATGTTTTCCAGGTCCATGGGGTTGATGATCACTTTGTAATAGTCTGGAACAAACTTCTTATTGACCGGGTGATGGAATGGCCAGGACTGCAGAGAGAGAAAGGACTTGAGTTGGACAACAGTAGAGCACCAATAATACTCCGCTGCCAATACAGACAGGGGTGTAAACACTCTCACAACTCTATCTTGACTTCATTAAGCCATAACTAGAAGGAGTAAAGATGTTAACAATGGCTCCTTTATCCCCCCCACCCCCCGAGAGCAGATCAAAACATAAGAGATTAGAAGACTCACGTCTGGCACAGCCATCATCTTCTGCGTGACGATGTTGTCAAGGATGAAGGAGAAGGCCACCTGGTCGTCGTCATCCAGCAGGGGGTTTATGGCCTTCTCTAGCCTCACCAGCCTGTCCTCTTTCTAGAGGGAAACAGGAGGGGAGCAAGAGGAACGCCATGTTACAGGGGAGACTGACATCGGATATCACTAGATGTCACTAAGAGCCACCCTGTGAAGACACTGACCTCCTTCAGCTTCTCGTCACACAGATCCAGCATGGACTGCGCAACCTGGGTCAGAGGATGCTTTGCACCTGCAGCGAAATAAGAGTGGTCAGGACTTGAGTGCAATGCACATCTAATCTCACTGCTTTAACGCCTTTACCATGCGCTGCTTATGCATGGAAAGTGGACAAAGCTGCCCAGACATGCTGCTGACACACATGCTTCTTTCAAAAGAGAAGCCGGAGAAGATCCCTGGAGTAACCAATGGCCTCCCAATGGCCTCCCAATGGCCTCCCAATGGCCTCCTCTTGCCTGTACCCTTTCTTGTAAAGTTTGGGAAGCGATGACGATTACACTGTGATGGGTAAAGGGGTTAATCGGCACATTTATTCCCCCCCTGCCGCCTGTCCCCCTGTCCCGCACCGTTGTAGGTGATGCTGTTCTTGACGATGAGCTCCACGCTCTCGCGGAACTCCTCCCGCGACGGGTACATGCGCTTGCGGACGTTCTCCCGCAGAGTCTGCAGGTCCATCGGCCGGGTGATGATCTTGTAGTAATCCTTCACCACCTTGGCGTTGACGGGAGTGTGGAAGGGGTAGGTCTGAAGAAAAGAGATCGCCATTTTATGACAGCTGCTTTAGAGGTTCTTCATTTTTCCTTCGGTCATTCCGATTATCTTACAGACCGATTTTTTACTCTTCTGGATTCCCCCCCCTCATCTTACATCTTTTCATTTCTTTTGTTCACCGGTGGCTTGGAATGTATATTGTACACTGCTCAGGGAATTTGCTAACGTCACACAAAGAAACTTTGAACAGAACAGAAGAGGAAGAGAAGAGAGAGGTGTAAGAGAGCAGACAGAAGGGTAAAAGAACACTTATTCCAGGGACGTGACAGATCCACAGTACAGGGTGGAGTCAGAAGAAAGACTAGGGGTGAGGGAGCGGAGGTTCACAGAAGGATGAAAGGAGCAGGGAGAGAGCCTGAGAAGGGCTAGAAACTGCGAATCAGAGCAGGAGGAGGAGAGGGCACTCACGTTGGGGTGGTCCCGCATGTCGTTGATGATGCCCTCGAGGACCGAGGACAGGGTGACCATGGGGTCCGTGCGCCGGCGGTGGATCGACTTGTGTGGGCGCTGTTGGGAGAGCAAACCCACGTCAGGCGAGAGACGGGAACGAGTGCGGCACCGCAACGCCACCGAGCTCTACCCCGAAGCAGGGCGGGACCGGAAGGAGGCTCACGTTGAGGTAGTCGCAGTGCACGGTCGTGCCCACGCGCCGCTTCTTCTTCGGAGGCAGCTGCTGCTTCGGGAACTTCAGGACCAGGGACTTCCTCCGCACCTCGTCCGCGCTGGAAAGTGAGGTGGGGTAAAGACAGAACAGAGCAACATGATATTCAACAATAAATAATTTCTTACACTTAAAAAGTAGTGTAATTGTATAGTGCTTTTCTGGACACTCCACTCAAAGCGCTGTACAGGTAATGGGGATCCCCTCCACCACCACCACCAATGTGTGGCCCCACCTTGATGATGTCTCATCTGAAGTACAGAGCCTCTTTTTACAGTATAGTGTCCCCGTCACTTTACTGGGGCATTAGGACCCACACAGACTGCAGGGTGAGCGCTCCCTACTGGTCCCACTAACACCTCTTCCAGCAGCAAGCCCAGCTTTCCCAGGAGGTCTCCCCTCCAGGTACTGACCAGGCTCACACCTGCTGAGCTTCAGTGGGTTACCAGCTGTGAGCTGCAGAGTGATACAGCTGTGGGCGGTAGGTTGTACAGTGCTGTTCAGTACGAGGGTGTTACACAGTCATCATGTTCAGTATAAGAGCCAGCCCGTTACTGTACCTCTCAATGAGCTGCTTGCCCAGCACAATCTTAGTGCCCTCCACCTTGATGAGCTCCTCGTTGTCATTGTGGATGACCGTCTTCTCCAGCTCCTCCTCCTGCTCCTCCGTCATGGCGACCGGGTTGGAGGGCGGGGCATTGGTCTGGTAGTACAGCGGGCAGAACTTGTTGGTCCTCATGTGACCAATCGCACCGCAGGCGCCACACTTCAGCTGGAGCGGAGAGAGAGGACACAACAGCGAGACCATCAACGCCAAGTCCGACAAAGCGGGCCTGCAATGCAGACCTGCTCAAAGAGCGGCAGCACATTTAAATCTAAATAGGGGAGAATCACATTGTAGTAAAGGCAATACAAATTTGAAAACATAAATAATTCACAAAGAAGGAGCACGTGTGCAGCTGAAAAGCCTGAGATCATAACACAGACCTCAAGATGGCCAAGTCACAACTATCACTAGTATTTCAGGTGGGTAGCTGCGTCAGCATGTGTAGGCTGCAAAGGAACAAGTTATAGGTTTATTCCATGCTGAAAAAAAGAAGAAAGAGAACACAACGTTTCAGCCGTGGAGCCTTCTTCAGGTGTGGAAGAAGGCACACCTGAAGAAGGCTCCACGGCCGAAACGTTGTGTTCTCTTTCTTCTTTTTTTCAGCATGGAATAAACCTATAACTTGTCACTATCACTAGTATCGCTGGTAGTGACCTACTGACAGTGTCAAGTATGAGGGCCCAGGGTGGGTACCTTGAGATCCGGGCGCTCCTTTATCTTCTTGGGCTTCTTCTCGGGCGGGCCCTTGATCTTCTCCTTCTCCTGGTTGCGCTTGAGGCGCCGCAGCTGCTCCTGGATGCGCCTCCGCTCCTTCCGCATCTCCTCGCGGTGCTGCTCGTCGAACAGGGCGAACTTCCGGCTGCGTGCCAGAGGGGGGAGCCGGTGAGCTCGCGCGCGCGCACGCAAACGACCTACGGCGGACTACGAGGGAGGCTCACGAGGAGGAAGAGGGACGGGCCGCGTGCAGCCCGGACTCACATGAAGTCGTCGTCCTTGGTGGTGCGGATGCGCGTGTAGGCGTCGATGACGGACGGCTTCCTGACGGTCTCGCAGCGCACGTACTCCTTGCCGTCCTCATCGCGGAAAGTGCGGTAGATCTTAAGGCGCCGCCCGGTGGCCGAGGAGTTAAGGCTGGTGACCGAGGAGGCGTCGTCATCCTTGTGGGAGCTGGTGGACAGGGCACTGGCTGCACGACACACCAGAATGACACTCCCATCAAACCTTGCACCTGGACTGGACTGATGCGTTGCCAGTCAAACCCTGCACCCCGGCCTTACTGGCATCTGTGCCCTTCCCTTTCTCTCCGTCTAGCTACGATCCAGTCGAGCCCCGCTTGGTTAATATTATTGGTTAAAAACCTAAACGGATCTTGTAAACGGAACCTCTGTTGCCAGGTCTGTCACTCAGGATGACGTGCCCCCTACAAAACCAGACAGGTTTCAGGTCAGGAAATGGCTGCGTGAAATTCTGTGGGACTGAGCTGATGCAAGCACTGTACTGTGAACAGCTCATCTTGTGCTGCAGTTAGTCTAGCTCCGACATATGAGTTACCAATAAAATGAAAATCCAAGAGAAAATTTTGATATTGATGTAACCTACCAAATGTTTTAAACGTTTCATCGTCTTTCTGCACTATTACAAATAATTACATAATTTCAATGTGTTTTAGTTTTCCTAATTAAACCTCAGAAACAAAGTTTTATTGGCACTGAACACTTCTCGTAGCTTTAATAAATCCTATAAATCACCCAAGCACTGCACTGCTGAGCAAGACATATGACGGGTCGCACACAAGGGAAGGCCATACAGCCCATTTAGCCCGTGTGGTAGCTAGTTTTAAACTGATCCAAGAACCTCATCCAGCCATTTCCTGAAAGAAACCAGGGGATAGGGTTAAGCAACAAGGCTAGATAGTTTGTTCCACCTCCCGTTGGGTAGAGTCTCCCTTGCCCCTCTCATTCTCCAGACTCACAGCAGCCCTTGCGGTCTCGCCGGTCCTTGCGGTTCTTGTCCCGGTCGGGGCCACTGTCCTCGCCCAGCAGCATCCTCTGAAGCTCCTTCCTCTCCTGCTCCTCCCTCTCGCGGGACAGCTGCGAGCTCGTCTTCTTGTTCTGCAGCATGTTCTCGATGTTCTTGCCCATCTCCTCGAAGTCACTGTCCTCCGCAGAGCTGCTGTCCGTGTCGGTGGACAGGACCTCCGTCGACTCCAGCACCCTTGCGGTGGGGAGGGAGGGGGGTATTAGCGATTGCTAGAGGATCTGACTCACTGCACCCGTCTACAGCAAAATCAGTAGTGTGGTTAAAGAGCCATATGGCATAAGACAGTTGTACTATACACACTTGAAAAAGGCTTAACAGCCAAAAGGGTCTTTTCTTTCTACTCTTCGGTGTGGAATAATCCTTTACTTATTCCTTTGCAGCATGATACTGCTTTAAACCACAACTCAGTCTTCTGATTTCCACATCATTTCACACACATGTAACCCATGATCTGGAAAATGAGAGGTGAGTGATTTTTTTTTCCCCTTCACCCTTGGGGGCCCTTTTTTTCCTTAACTTAACGGGTGAATACGAGCATGCTCTTCTTTTGCTGGCAAGGAAAAAAGAGCCAGGACCACAGAGAACGGCCTCTGGAAGCAATCGGAGACAGAGGTTGGGAGCGACAAAGAGGTTTCTCACTTGTTCTGCAGGTCGAAGATGCGCTGGCACTCCTCCTTGTACCTCTCCTGGTGCTCTGCCACGGAGAAGCGAGAGCCCCGGGCAAACTTGCTCATCGGGCCCTCTCCAGAGCGCGCCTGCTCCGTCGACATGGTGCGCACCACATCGATCACCTCCCAGCGAGACAGCTTCTTAATCTGGGGACACAGCCAGCAGGGAGCTAGACACCGACCCAGTTGTTGGACAGGCACTGCATGTTGGTCCTTCCCGCTACACTGCCATCCAGCTTCCCTCCTACACCAACCAGCTGAGCAGAATGGCTCCTTCCACTTATCTGTTACCATGGAAACCCTTTCCACCAGCCTGACCCCTCCCTTCTGCCCACCTCTGGCCCAATGCGTTACCTCTTCTTCTGGAACCCCGAATTTTCGTAGAAGCTGTTTGGCATTTTTAAGAGAAAGCCGCCTCAAGTCAGCGTCTGTCCCCGTCACGGTCTTCTTGGCAGGCTGGGGCTCCTTATCGTCCTGTAAAAACCACCCACGCACACGGGAAGGTCAATCCTATTTCTCGAGATTTTGCCCCCCCCCCCCCTTCAAGCATGCCGAAGAAGTCCGAAGAAGTGCAACTCTATAAATGAACATGGTGACCTTTCAGGCTCAGGGCACAGCCGTCTCCTAGCCTGAGCTCCTCACACAGACCACCCAGTTTAATAGACTCCACTCCTCAAGCCTGCCAGAACCCAGACCCCCCCCACCCACACAGAAAGAAACACAGTGACCGAGAAAGACAAAGAACTCCTGACCTTCTGCTGCGTTGGCTTGTTGGGAACCTTGACGTAGGAGAAGCCCTCCCCACAGCCTGTGGGGTCGGCCACTCCCGTCACCTCCAGCAGACACTTGCCCTTCATGGCCGCGATGAACGCCCGCGTGGTGTTCCAGGGGGCCGTGCGCACCTGCGGGGGGGGGAGGGGGAGAAAGCGGGGAAGAAGGTGGACAATTAAAAGAGTAGCAGAGTCTGCTGCACGTAACTAAAAGGTAGACCTGCAAAAAGCAGGACTTTCTGTAACCAAGGAGAAGCCGTCAAGGAGAAATATGTCAGGCACAGCGAAGACAAAGATCCTGGGGGTCAGAACCTCGGATCTCCAGGAAACAAGGCTTAAGCATGAAAAACAAACTCCAGCTGGAAACTCTGGAGCTCTGAAGAACTGGAAACAACAATAGAAGTCAGAACATTAGGACACGTCATTTGTTTTGCATAAGGAAATTTACTTGCAAGCTTTAAAGGCCTGCAGGGCTAGTGGTTATTCAATTCAACTTTATTGTCATTAAACTTACACAGGTGCATAGTATAATGAAAAGTGTTTCTCATTAGTCACTCTTATCTTCTGTCCTATTATATAAATAGGACAGAAGATAAGACAATAGACAGTAACACAATAGCAATAACAGTAACATGTAATAATATAACATAAATAACATGTAATCAAGTAATCGATTACTAGGGGCTGCACCAGAGATGGAATGGCACCCAGGACCAGCACCTGGTCATGCAGAGGGGGATACCCATCTCCCCACCACAAGCAAACAATACAAGAGGGGAAGAACATGAAAATGACTCCCTGTGGAAGAAAGCCCATGTGAGGGGGAATGATTTGCCCCAGGGCCCACAGAAAGGCACCACCAGCAAAACTGCACAGTCTCACCTCATCATCAATCTTCATCTGGAAGTCCTCCTCATTCTCCTCCTCGGGGGCGAAGAAGGACTTTTCTCCATAGCCGGCATCCTGAGCGGCGCAGGGAGAGACAGAAGAGAGACATCTAGACGCATCAGCACTGGTCATCTGACTTAACACGCACTAGCAAGCAGCTCTCTACAGCACAAATCAGTAGACAATCTCCGCTGTGAAGCATTACTTCCAATACTAGTACAGCTCATAGCATAAAAACACAGATTTCCCTTATGTTTTGCTTGTGTTTTAACACACAGAATATACAGTGAAGTCCAAGTACTATGTGTGGAAATCTGGTACATGGACATATACCACCAGCCAGTGATGTTGTGTACCTTGAGTCTCTGCTCGGCTACCAGCATGCTGTAATAGGCACAGCACTGCTCTGGAGACACCATGGCCCGGATCTCCTCCTCGGTGGGCAGCCGGAAATCTGGCTTCAGCACCCACCAATTGGAGTCCATCCCTGGAAGAGAGAAGGGCAGAAACAGGGAGGTCGGTCACTCCTTCACAGAGCCAAGACACATGTTACTCAAGTATTTTCCACTGCATCAGGTCAGTGTTTAGAGATTCCTAATTTCAGAAAGGAACATCTCAAACAGCCTCGATGGGCATCCAGAAGAATCAAAGATTTATTCCCTCTATTTGGTTGCGTTTCCAGTCACATCCAGAATTCTATTCCCTCTCTTCTCTTTTGTATTGGGATTTCCATCATCCTGTCCACTATATACACATCTCCTCTCCCCCTCTAGATGAAGTGAAGCTCTGCTTCAGGGTTAAAACCTGTACTGGTCTGTTACAGCAGCAGCAGTTCTATTGATATGGAATAATTTATACATGTAGGGACCATCATAGGGCATTAGGAGAACTTCAGACATTGCTGCCAAAGGACACCATCACAGGATCTAGGGAGACCAGGCCAGTGCCTTCAGACCATTGCTCCCTGCTTACCCTACAAAGAGGGCTGCCAAACTTTCAGCACCTCTAAACATTGAATTTTCTGATTCTAGCAGAAAAAAACTGTCAAATGACATGAAGCTCATGTTCTTTCGCCATGTGAACAGCTGTGAATAAATCAATGGGAGCTCATGGGGAGCTAGAGGAGGGGTCACAAACTGCCTCTCGCCCAGGCCCACGTGCGCCACGCTCAAACCCTGAGCCCGGCCCGGTACCTGTGCGCTTGAAGTCGGCGCACAGCTTCAGCCGCTTGCGGATGCTGCTCTCCGAGTGCGAGGGGAAGGCTTTCTTGATGTCCTCCATCCGAATCCGCCGAGGCCTGTCCTTGCTCTTCCAGAAGAGCCGGTAAATGAAGACCTGCCCGAGGGAAAAGGACGAGAGAGAGAGAGAAATAAAGAGGAATGTCGACCTCGGGAGTCCTGATCACATACGTCTCTGGTGAAGCTGCACTTTCAGCACAAGCACGTCCCCTCAGACTGGACCGAGAGCAGTAGCACCTCTGGCTTGTCAGTGATGTGTTTATTACCTGTGATCACTGAAGATTTCGTTATTTTCCCCAAGAGATAATTCATCTAGGCACTGAATGAACCACGCTGGCAATGTGCACATGACTGAATGATAGAATAGTGGAGAAAAAGCTTAAGGACACAAGCCTAGCAAAACTGATTTTTGGAAAACAGAAGTGTAGTCCGTTTTCATGAATTACTATTAATCTTATATTTCCATATTGTTATTGTTGCTTCATAATTCTGCAAAATATGAATATTTCTATGCCATTTGCTTTTTTTGCCTTTTCAGTCCTCCAATCTCTTACCTTTCACTTTTCCATTACTATTCCGGGAACAATATGCTCATGTGTTTCAAAAGGGTACTGTTAACATGCTCTGTAACTGCTGATGTAAACTGCTGACCAAGCATCTCTGACGTGAAGTTGAAAAGATGAGGAGAGAAGAGAATAGAGCACAATAGAGATCTCTGACAGCTTTCCTCATGCTCAAGCCAAGATGCCCTTCAGCACTGGCAAGGGAAGAGTCATAACGCAGGTCATCGAACAGAGCAGGAGGTGTAGACCCGTATACAACGTCACTATCGATAGGTCACTGCGGTGAGCCTGTACCTGGAGGAAGTCGCGGATATGCGTGTTGGCACGTTTGGAGTTGGGCCCGGGCACCTCAAACAGCGGGCACTCCTGGCCCACCACAATGATGTCCACCAGCTCGCGGACATAGTAGCCCTGTCGCGTGCGCAGGATCAGGAAGTCCGTCTCCGGCATCTTGTGCAGGTAGATGGGGGCGCGGAAGAGGTTATTCTCAAAGGCCTGGGGGAGGTGGATGGGAAGACCCATTAGAAACACCTCATGCAACACACCAGAGAACCACAGTCAAGCTGAAAAAACACGCAGTGCTCCTGGAGCAGCACATTTCTTCCTACAAAGGGAGAGGAAAGTGTCAGTTATCCCCCCCCCCAAAAAAAAAAATCTCCTTGCTTTTCAAATTCTTTCATTCGTCCTTTGCACTGTCTGTGATTTGTTTCTCTTTCTTCTGTTCCTCTATCTTCTTTCCTGTCTCACTCCCTAAATTGTTTCTGCTTATGAACATAAGAAGTGTTACAGATGATTAGCCCATCTCTAAGTACTTAATACTTTCAGAACCAGTACATCCCTTCAAACTGGACCCAGAATAACAGCAGGTGTCGCTTATCAGCGGTGTGTATTTACCTGTGGTTAATGCAGATTTAGTTATTCTTCCTAATAATTCAGCTATCTTGTAGATAATAGCTAATAACCTGAGGACCTCATCCAGCCATTTTCCTTTAAAGAAGCCAGGTGAGCAGATGTAATGACATGGGTAGCTTGTTCCATGGTGCCTCCTGTTCTCGTGTCCCCTGGTTCCTGTTTCCAGCGGGTTAACTTTGTCAGTGCCATGGAGGATTCATGTCTATCCTGCTCCCATCCCTCTCTGCTGCCCCCGCCCCTCCCACACTCCTCGCACCTGCAGCAGCTGTCCCGGGTGCAGGGACCCCAGGAAGGGGGAGGTGTGGCAGTACACCGTCTCTCCGTACTTGCAGTCAGGCGCCCCGGGATCCTTGCCTGGTTTCTGTGGAACGGAGCAGAGCCGTGTTAGCGCCGGATGCCGAACCCAGCGGCGAAGTGGTTGGGAAGAAAAACCAACACTGGCCACCAAATTCCTGTCCCCTCCAGCATCCCCAAATCTACTCCTAATGACAGAGCATGCCCAGCCCTCGATTTCCGAGCACCCGGTTTAGGAAATGTGCTGTAAGGAAACGTGCCTTTTAGTAGCCAGTTTTTGCAGCGATGAAGTGAATTTTTCTACAACTAAGGTATAGTCGTACGGAGGACACCATCCTCCTCGCATGACAACCCTCCACAAGACAGGTCCTCAGTGCGTTTGCCTTCTTAAAATTTTTACACCTCTATTTCTGTTGTCCATCTGTATCTATCCTAGTGGGTTAACAAAGATCATTATCATCTACAAGTTCATCTGAAGTTCAAGGTCAAATTTTAAGAGGCTGAGAATTTTAGCTCAAATGTAATGCCGGGTGATTTTCGGTTTCGGTTTCCAAATTTCGAAGGAACGAAATACGGTCTCAAATCGAGGGATGGGTGTACTCGCAGGAAGCAAGACACTGTGTACTGCTTGCCTTTCACATTCAATGACAACTGAGCAGCACAGACCACTGGAAGCGATGCTGGCAAGTCAAGTGCGCAAGACGCGGCTCTCACCCTCTTGTAGTAGTTCTTGATCTTGGTGGCCATGCCCACTTGCATCATGAGCGGGGGGTACTCCTCGCTGTACTCGGCCAGGATGAGGTCGCCGTCCTTGCCCGTCAGGTCCTGCGCCGTCCGCATGAAGAACATGTCGCCGCCGCCGGAGGCCTGGCGCTCCTGCTCCCGCATCTGAGACAGGAAGACGAGCGGGAGAGGGCGGTGAGCACGGGCCACGGAGGAGGGAAAGGAGGAGCGTGGGGCAAAAACTGGACCGAGACTTTGAGAGAGGGAGGATGAAAGATGGGGTGGAGACCGAGGTCACAGCCCTTTCTTCCTGCTGGCCTGAAAGGGCCGGGCAGGGAGGGGGAGGCGAGGAGACGACAGGGGCCCCAGACCTTGGCCTTCTTCTTGATGTGTTTGAGCAGCGGCTGGACAGGGTGGGGGCCGGGCTGGGACAGCACCCCGAAGGAGTACTTCTTCAGGGTGGGCCGGTGGAACTGCCGCAGCTTCATGGGACCCATGTGGGTGGGGAAGAACGGTTGCCTCAGCTCCACTGAAGGGATGGAGTGCTACAGGGACAGGGGGAGAGGGGAGAGAGAGATTGACAAAGACTCTTTTGGCACTAGTGTCACTACAAACCCAACCTGCCAGATTCCTATTCCCGATGAGGATAGTGCTCTTCTTTAGCAGGAGACATAAGGACCAATACCTGATCCTAGATGGAAACAGTGGTCCTTAAGGAAACCAGCATCCTACCCTCCCCCCCGACCTCCAACAAAGGGACAGAATCAGAAAAATCTCAGGGCTTTCATCAGATCAGCCCTGAGCAGGCAAACAGGAGAACAGATCCATCAACCCTGTAAGGGAAGCTCACTGCTCTCCCAGATCTTCTTTAATACCCTACCTGGATGATGTTGCCTCCGAAGGTGCCCCGCAGACCCTGCTGCTTGGGGTAGTAGAACTCATCATTTGACAAGTTCCAGGGGTCCTTCACCTCTGGCTGGGACATGTTCTGAATAAAGAGAAGGAGCAGGTGTGAGTAAAGACGAGTGAAGGAGATCCCCCCCCCCCCTTTCCTTCCTCTCTTTCCTGCCTCTGACCTGCTGGGGCTCATCCTTGATGACGCCAGTCTTGCCCAGAAGGATGCGGCTCTTCTTCAAGGCCGATTCTTTCTTGTTCTCCTTGGAGGGGGAGTTGGAGGTCATCTCCTCTTTCTCGTCTGGGATCTCTGCAGTTTGCGAAAGGGGGAGAGGGGAGATGTCAGATGGCCAAAGAGAGGAGAGAACGGCAGAGAGATGGGTGGAGAAGGAGAAGGGAGGAGTACCACCTAGGATGATGTTCTCGTCATTGGGGTCCAGGGTGAGCACTGGTGGGGTGGGCATGTCGTCCATGGCCTGGTCATCCCAGATGATGTTGTCCTCCCAACGGCCGTACACCAGCTCCTCGTTATCGATGGGGAAGATGGAGAACCAAGGGGAATCCTCCTCCATGGAGACTGAAGGGATGGGAGGAAGGAGCAGAAAACTGCAATATAAGATCAGCTGGGAATGGTCATTCACAGGAGTCAGCGCAGCGCTTCTCTCTGCCAGGGTGGGGCCCACCGAGCCAGCTCGGCAATGTCAAAACCAGCTCTCCCCACCCCCCAGACACAGGGGCACCGCCTGCTTCCCAGTGCTTTCGCCACCAACTCGTCAGCTGCACAAGCATTTGCATCGAACCCCATGTGATCCATAAAACCAAGATGGCCCTCTATCTCATGCGCACATCATCGTCATTTCAAGGCCGTTGAGAGAGGACACTGTGCAGCAGGAAAGTTTTGCTGAGCCTTGATTTTGACTATAGGTACTATACAGCTATCCCACCACAGTGTACGTGCTGTTCCATTTCAGTCTGCAGGCACACTATTTAGCCATCTGCATCTTTTTAAATTTTTACTAGTCAAATTTCAGTGGCTGCTTCCCAGCAGCTACTAAACTCCAGGTCATACTCATCTCTCACAAACTACATTTACAACTCTGTCCCACGCTGTCTGCAGACCTCAGTCTATACACTGTGTGACATGCCCTTTACCCCACTCTTCACTTTACAATCCTCTGTTACAGACTGCATCGTCTCAACGCCATATTCGACCATGTCTACACCTTGTATTTCAGCCTGTCCAGTTTAGGTTTTCATACTTCTCCCTATCCCTAAGTGCACTGTCTATAGAGCTCAATCTCCTATTGTCCAGTTTATTTTCTTTATCCCTAGACAATGCGTTTTTTAAGCCACTACCGCAGTCTGTACTTTATTAATAGGCTCTAAACTTTGTCTATGCTTGTAGAACAGCCCCCTACCCTAAAGTAAACTGTCTGCAGGGCAGGTCTCTATACCAATCAATAACACTTCTGCATCCCTCTATCCCAGAATGCCCTCTACCTAAGTCTGTGCTTTGCCTTGGGTCATGTGTCAGACTATTAACAGTGCTCTGTCTCCATCTGTACTGTGCACAGCCCTATATTCCTCTTGAAGTCAACGTTACCCTGCTGTTCCTGGGAGTGTTTGTCCCGAATCTTGCCGGAGCCCTGGGTACCGGGGGGGGTAGCTTTGGGCAGCGGAGGAGGGGTAGGGGGCACCAGCTGTGAGTTACTGCGGCTAAGACCTGCACAGAACAGACACATCCCATTAAGAGTGGCACGCTCCTTAACTGAGAGGTCGGGGTCAGGTAACTGAAAGGTGCAGCATAGTCAAACGGGAAGATACATTTTGGCAAAAAGTGTGAAAATGGAAATAAGACTCCCAACTGCACAGGGGTCGTTTTGGATTGCACATAGAGATTCTTTTATATACAACTGTACCCCTGCAGAGTTTTTAATGCCCTCAGTCTTATTCTGCATTAAATTCATCAGCCCTGAACTAGCCATGGAGCTAGAGGGCACTCACCCTGCTGGGCATTGTAGGCGTTGGCGTTGCGGGTCATGCTGGAGGGCAGCCAGCCGGCCAGGCTGGCACGCTGCGTCTTGGTGCCCTTGTGCTTGACGTCCTCGCCGTTCCAGATGATGTCCTCCTCCCAGCGCAGCTGCGTCACCATGAGGAAGTGCTCGTTCTCCAGCAGCTCCGCCTCCGGCTCCCCTCCCCCCTCCTCCGGCTCGGCCTGCGGGCACACGCGCAGACAGGATCATGGGGGCGAGCCGCCTCTCCCCGCGGGACGGGCCGAGTCGGCTGGAGCTCAGCACCGCGGGGGAAGCGCCTGCTGCTCGCGCCCCAGGACATCAGCCCGGGGGTTCAGATGCATTTTTCAATCCAACCCTGACCTTTCACTGTCCCCGTCAAGATGAAGCACGCAAATATCCAAATGAGCAGAGCCCCTTGAGAAACGACGATCCGCTGTCTTCATTAAAAAGGTTTTGTTTTTTATGGCCGTTGGCAAAACACCACCTCCTACCAGACTGTCACTTTCAGAAGAGCACTCATCTACTCCTCCCGACAGCCCCACGTTCACCTAGCAGACATGTTTTAATAAGAAGGAAATTAGGCTCCACGGCCGAAACGTTGTGTTCTCTTACTTCTTTTTTTCAGCATGGAATAAACCTATAACTTCTTCCTTTGCAGCCTACGCATGCTGACGCAGCTACCCACCTGATGTTTTAATAAGTTCAAGTAGGTATCGGCGCCAGCACGCGCAGGCTGCAAAGGAACAAATTCAATTAAAGGTTTATTCCACGCTGAAAGGAAAAGAAAAGAAACAAATGTTTTGGCCTTACCAGAAGAAGGCTCCACAGCCAAACTTTGTGCTTCTTTTCAGCACGGAATAAACCTTCACACGTTTTATTAAGCCTCACTCAACAAGTGGAAAACATACAGGCGCCAAAACCCAATAATTCGTCTTGTACTAGAAATCTGCAGCACTGCCGTCACATGTAAGCAAAGCTGCTGAGCCTAACCGACTTCAAATGTCTGACGCAAGGTAAAAAAGGTGGATGCTGGTGGAGGGGATCCCCATTACCTGTAAAGCGCTTTGAGGGGAGTGTCCAGAAAAGCGCTATATAAGTGTAAGCAATTATTATTATTATAAAATGAAGAGGTTCATAGAGCACGCTTGCTTTGAGAGGTTTTTCTGTTTATGATTTGTGGCGAAGTGAAGGGTGCCCTTGTCTGCCAACAGGAGGTCGGTGGAAAGTGCCCCCCCTGCACAGCGGTGCAGACGCCACCCCACCCCACCAGGGGGCGCCCCGTCCCCTCGCTCGCCTCTCCGTTACCTGCTCCGGCTCTTCCGGCTGGGAGCCCTTCAACCGGAAACCGTAGTCGAAGCCCGCGCCGTCCTCCGGCACGCCCAGCATGTCGTACCACAGCTGCGCGGGGCCGTACCGCCACTCGGCCACCCGGGGCCGCGTCTCCGCCACCTTGTCCCCGTCCCCGGCGGACTGAGAGAACTTCGACTCCACGGGAGCCATCATGGTAATCTGAGGACAGAGGGAGGGAAAGGGGGAAACGTTGGAGACGGGACCAGGAACACGAGAAGAGTTACAAACCAGAGAGGGGAGCGTGGTTCAACGGAAAGGGAAGCGGGGAGAACGGATTGTTTCAGAAGACAAACAGAAAGACAACTGTGCAGGAACGCGTGGACTAGTCAAGCGGAAGAGCCCAGCGTTTCTTTCCAAATGCTGCTCTCCCACCAGAATGGAATCTGTCCTCTTTAAGACCACTACCTGACTATACAACAACCCAGATCCCATTAAAGGAAACAAAGCATTTTCTTTCAGGGCACCGTCTGCCATGTCAAAACTCAGATCGTTCAGGATTCGATCTTTTTTCGTCTGAAACGACCGCCCGAACGAAACTCACAGATGGATGTATTTCTCCAAACAGACTCGGCTGCGAACACCCCGTTTTTGTTTTCTAAAGTGCGTAAAAAGCAAGCTGCAGGACACCCACTGCTATCCTGGGAGGGTGACCGCGCCCGGCATGGGCCCCACAGCTGAGCAGCGCTGCGTTATCACTGCCCCCTGGTGGCAGCCAGCGGTACTGACCTCATCGTCAGAGAGGCACTGCTCTGGCGGCAGGGCCGGGGCGTACTCGTAGTCCCACCCCGATTTCTTCTCCGGCCCCGCCTCCCCGTGCTCGGGGTCGCCGGGCGGCGGCGTCCCGGGGTGCGGCTCCCGGTGCTTCTTCTTGCGCTTCCGCCGCGCGCTGCGCCACACCGACGGCATGTTCTTGCCGGGGCCGAACAGCCGCAGGAAACGCAGGACCTGGGGAGGGGAAAGAGGGATCAGAAGGACGCCGTCTGGAAGTGCGAACCTCCTCTCCAGGGAGGGCGGTCAGTCAGGAAGTCTGGTGCAGCGACAGGCATCAGCCCCTACATGTTCATCCCTCACACACAGTTAGATGCGCTTATTAAGGCACAAGGCAACGTGTTCGGATGTTCTCCCAAGACACTGCATCCAACCCTCTCTTAATTCAAGGGATCGGATTGTATCAGTGCGACAATCAGAGCAATCTTACTTTTTGTGCCAATTACAGTTACTGACAAATGGAAACTTTGTATTTTTAAGAATATATAAAAGCATTCATCATATGACTGAATATTTTTCTTAGTGCTAATTCTTCATTACTGTTAGTAACTCACATTCATGCACACTATAACACGGGACTGATCCTCTCCTTATCCCTCCATAACCCAAACCCAGGCTCAATCCTCCTCCGATGGGACTGATCCTCTCCTTATCCCTTCGCCCCCCACACCCCAATTACCTTTCCCGGACGGAATTCGGGGAAGAGGTCCGTGACGCTGGGCAGGAGCTTGGTGGCGTCCCGCTGCATGATGCCGGCCAGCGGCAGGGTCAGGCTGCCCTCGGACCCTCCCCCGGCACCCTTGCTGGGGCGATCCGTCTCCGACTCCGAGTCCGAGGAGCTGCTGAAGTCCACCTTCTCCCCCGCCGCGGACGGCGCGATGATGGACGGCAGGATGATCCCGTCGCCCTCGTCTCCGACTGCAGGGGGCAGCAGAGAACCACAATGTGCTTGTAGTCCTGCACATTATACATCTATTTTTTCAGAGTGCAGGTTGCAAGCATGTGGAGCCCCAGTACATTAACGAAAGCCACAAAGACAGGATAAACCAATCTCTTCTGCATCTATGGCATAAATATCAGAATGACCCTCTACATCAGAGCCAGCGTTCCAGACCTGCCAGAATATGCCAAGACTCTTCCGCACACAGACGACACTTGATCTTTTACCCAGATTTCCCCTTTATCACCATACACACAGTGTAACCCTGGTCCTGAAGAGCTCCAATCCAGCAGGTTTTGGAGGTCACAGTTAAATCACCAATTTCTAAGGACATCGAACAATTCAACTGCGGTCAATTAGGCAGCTTGTTAGATTTTGTAACCAGGACATCGTTTAAGCCTAAATCCAAGTACTCTTCAGATCTCAAGGACCAGAGTTTTCTTAACTGAACAGATTACCTACTGAATTCATCACTAGTTTACAGATGGTGCCAATCTTTAGGTGACTAAAGATGGTAAGAGTAACTGAATCAAGCCCTTCCAGAATCAGGCTTGGAGACCCCAGATGCAGAAACACAACTGGAACAGGTTGTTGGGAAGAGAGGAACCAAAGCCTCCCAGTGCACAGACAGAGAGTCCTGCCCCCTGCCTCACTGGGATAAACTCCAGAGGAACAGTTTGGGGAAGCCAATCAAGGCTAATCGGCAGTTTTTGGGTAGGTGGGAGGGAACGGGAGATGCTGGTGGAAACACTGAGAGAACACACAAACCACACACTGGCAGGAAGCAAAGGCTGGAATCGAAACCCAGGTCCCCTGGTGCTTTGATAACAGCAGTGCGACCCAGAAGCCTGTAAAGGTGTCGTAGTTTTCGGCCTCAGAATCGGGCGTCACAGGGAATGTTTAAATGCGGCGGCTAGGTATAAAGACTGAACAGAAAGCGAGAGCTGATGGAAAACTACATGTATTTAAGGATGGGCCACACTGTACCCCCCCTAACGTGATGCCTACCGCTGGGACCAGGAGCCGCGGGCTCGTCTCTCTTGGGCATGGTGGGCAGCACGGGCGGCGGAGGCGGGGGCATCAGCTTGGCATCGATGTCCTCGCAGTCGGCATCGTAGTCGTCGTCGTCGTCGTCTGAGGAGGCAGAGGGCCGGAGTGGGTGGGGAAACGCACTGTGCTTACAGAGAGAGGGACTAGCACTGACCACAGCTCTCAAGCCAGCACAGGGCAGGAAAACGCAGCTTGGCTTCGGTAATATTTAAGTCTTACTACACTTTCTGTGATCCTTAATCAGTCCTACACCTAGATTACCAGTTCTCTCAACATTTTTGTAATTACTGTTTGCGCAATTCCTACTGATATATGAGAAACCCACTTATTAATTGTTACTAATTAGCCGGTGGGATAGAGACAACTCCAGCCGAAGGAAAAAAAAGATAGTCTGAAGAGAACGTTTACGCCAAACACCAGGACGATGTCAGGATGTCAGAAATACAATACGCTGGTTCTAACTTTCCAAATGCAGCAAATATATGTAAAATAATAAACAGGTTAAAAAAAACTCTGCTTTTTTAGAGGTCATTTATTTAGTGTGAATTTATAGAACGTTAGCTTTACACAACTCTATCTGAAAGAGCTTCTATCTTAAGAGCTCTTGCAGACTGATTTCCACAAATACGGCCAGTTCTAACCGTAAGAAAGGGAGGGAGTCTCTTCTCGTTCGGGGGTCTGACCTGTCCGGTGGAGGGCCGGAAGGCTGCCCATGGCCTGGCGGTATTTCCGCGTCTCGTCCTCGGCGACCTCACTGATGTCCGAGTAGTCCACGGCGTCCTCTGTGCTCTTCACCCAGCCTAACGGGAACGGGGGAAGGGTTGAGCTGGCCAATCAAAAGGTAACGGACACCAGGAGGCTGTTCTGCCCATCTTGTTTACCCGGATGTCAAGATCTAAGAAGACTCTTGTTCAGTGTCCCCTAGGACCCCAGCAGTGACAGGAAAATCACTGCCGTGCAGTCAATATCTCCCTCCACCGCCCACAGCGCTGGGAGAGAACTCAGAAGAGAGAACACAGCTACGCAAAAAGGGTCCCTCTCCCCGAAACCTGTCACCTCGTCTCACAACCTGGCACTTGCGTCTCTTCCACTGCTGTCTCTCATTGTACTCCACACTCCCTGCCCAGCATCCCTGCGACTCCTCCTCCCTTACAACACTCCTTCCCTCCATTCATCCGATACCTCCCTTCCTTCCCAATCCCTCTCTTTCCCCTCCCTTTGCCCCTGCCCCTCCCCAGAAGGGGGGCGAGTTACCCTCCGCGTCTGTCCCCGATGAGTCCCTCTCATCCTGGGGCGGATCGTCCTCGCTGGCCGTGATCTCCGTGAGCAGGTTGCCCAGGCCCAGTGAGCCCAGCCCAGCCAGGTGCTTCTTTGACTCCTGGGAGACAGGGCAAGGAATCTCAGTCAGGCGAGATGGCTCTCAGATCACTACTGTCCTTCTGTCTCCGTTTCTAGTGAGCCACTCGGCAAGGACCAGTGACTGGATGAAGATGACATGAGCTTCTTTACTTTCTTCCTGCCCATTCTAACTCCTTGTACAGAAACAAAACACTCCTGTCTTTTTTTCTTTCAAAACAGTTTTCTACGTACTTCAGTAATCCCTACAGAAAGAGCAGCAAGGAGACAATCTTATTGTTGTACAATACAGCATCGTAGCCGACCAAACCTGACAAGCCTTACAGTTTTTTTTTTTTATCCTACACAAGGTCCATTTATACCTGCATCCTGAGAGCTATCTCCTAGGATCCGGATGTATTCTGTATGGGAACAGTGCATTTACACAAGTACTATTTCTGCTTACAGAGCTGCCTACACCTCTGCCCTGTATAATCTCTTACACCAACACAGATGTGTCAATGCCGTGGTGTATGATGCACAAACAAAGAGCAGAACTCATAGGACTGCTAGAATTAATCCAACTCTCTCTATGCTAGGACTTCAAACTGGAACTTATTTCTTGTCACCCCACTCTTGGCCTCAAGTGCCTGAATGAATAAAGGGGAAGCAGATAAGTGGTGACTATGTTTCTTGACATGCAGCGCCCCCTAGAAATTATATCTGCATTCTCCAATGCATGCAATAGGGTTTATATTATGAAAACATACGAGAATGCATCCTCTTGTCCTCTCATTCAGCTGTATTTCAGGTGCATTCCTCCCAATTGAAAAACACACGTGATTGTTTTCCCCAGGGAGAAAGCTACTTGATTATCCCTTCCCACTGCTGGAGGGGTATGTGTAGGCATCTCTAACAAACTCTCGCCACGACTGCGCAGTATGAACTACTGGGGGAATACTGCAGAAACAAACTTTTACAAAGCTGCCAGATCCATTTGAGGTTTTTCAAGCCACAGGTGGGTCTGTATTAGTAGAGGTGTTAGCCATTTCGGGATTATCTGGGGGTAGATTTGCACAGGCTAGTGTGGCGCATTCCAAGAGCCATCCTCCCCCCCCCCCCCGCCCCTTACAGTGTCCAGCACGCTGTCATCTTCCAGCTGGCCGTCCTCGTTGATGTTTCCGAACAGGAAGCCGGTGAGGGAGAAGGGCTGGTCCTGATCCTCCTCGCTGTCTGACTCCGACATCCTGCAGGCTGGGCAGATGGACAAGCAGTAAGTAGACAGGCAGTACGGACTGCTGAGAGAGATCCAATCAGGGCAGGACACTAGGGCAGCTTCTTGATGTCAATACTGACCCCTCGCCTACCGGTCTCTGGGAGCACTCTCACAGAGCCACTGGCCAGAGCAGAACGGTTACCAAGTGCGACTCCAAAAAACTATTTCTTACACCTTTTCTTTTGGGTATGAAATTCACCATCGCATCAACGTAAAGCCCTTTCAGAAGACTCAAAGGCAACGTCCTCACAGAGACAGTACGCCAGACCAGACAGTCCTGAAACCCGGATATTACATTCATCCACTTCATCCAATTCAGCGTCGGAAGGGAGCCTGAGTCTATCCTGGCCAGCAGACACAAGGGCAAGTTCGCCCAACTCACACCTGGGCCAATTTTCCCAGAAGCCAATTAACCCACTAACATGTCTTCAGACTGTGGGAGGAAACTCAACTAAACACGGGGAGAACGTACAAACTCCACACAGACAGCATCCCCGGGAACTGAACCCGGGGCCTGCGCTGCTAGGTTGTAGTGCTCACCACTGCGCCGCCCACCACAAATACTACACACGTTTTAAAACGAGAAAGATAATATTATATTCCCGCCAAATCTGGTCCAATAATCGTTTTTTTCTTTCCTTTGGTCGCAAACATACCGAAAAGAAACACTCCCGTTTAGATCAACATCGCACATTAAAGTATATCATGCTTTTAGTATGTTCTGTCCGAACACGGGCCAGTTTGTCTGCAGTGTGAGAGCACACAGAACAGTCCTCAAACAACATCGCAAACACAGACAGCTAACAGTGTGAGTGCAGGACAGAATCCAAGACACAGTCAATGCATTCTACAATTGAAAAAAAAAGATCATTACTGTTTGCTTTGCCACCAGTTGTGTCGTTGTCTTAGTTCTCCGCAGCTGGGGCCCAAACTGGATACTTCTTCTGTCTTACCCCCCAAAGAAGCAGCTATCTCCGGGACAGGGGTGAGAGACAGACCCGGAGACTCTAGCCAAAGGAACCCAATCCTCCTTTAATTTGCATGCACAGCCGAGTGGTCTCGCTGAAGTGATGCGAATCGTATTTCCATCCGTTTTTAAAATCAAACCTCTCCGCTCCCAGCGAAGAAACAAACCATTCCAGCTCACTGCATTTCACTGCTGCTTCCCGTTTCCTAGAGCGTCGCTCTTTACTTCCGCTCCTTACTGCCTGGCGGTCATTTCCCACAGCGCCCCCCTCCGGCAATAACCGGTACACCACAATCCCGTTCTCCGGAGATCTCCAGAACACGAACAGATTTTAGAATGAAATGATTTTATTTATGATTCAGAATTTCCTTAAAATAGTTAGCTGAGCCTATCTGTGTCGCTCGTCTTAACGGTCCTAAAAATAAGTTAAATTCTGAGAGAGCGGTATACTTTCAAATGGTCAGAAAGCGTCCGTCTGAAAAAAATGCATGCTTTCTTGTAAAGGAATTGGGATCGCCTTAAGATGGACTGGAAGACTTTTTTCGATGTATTAGCTTTTTTAAAACTGTATTCTTAAGAACTGTGCCAGCCCTCCCTCTGCCGGTCCCACCTGTGACGGGAGTTTGCCGCTGTCCCAGCAGGCGGCGCTGTCTCCCGGAGCCCAGCCGTTTACAGCCAGACCTCACTATGAGGTTCCGAAACTGTCAGTTTAAAGGGAGTTTTTGCTCCGAAGGTGCATGGAATAGAGTGAACAGAGTATAAAAACAACAAAATGACAACAGGAATGGATGTCATGCGTCTTATCTCACACGCTGGAAGAAGAGTACTTTTTAAATCCCCTTTCCTCTACGGAATAGTCGCTCTGTACTTATAACTCAGCTTCTCTTGACTTAAACCAGCGTTTCTAAGCCCTTTCGATTAGTACTTGGGCTCCAGCTGCCGAGAGTGATGCGAGTCAGAGGACCCGCACCGGCCATCTGCGGTGCAGGATCTCACACACGGGGTTAATGGCGTTGCCGTTATGTAAGGAGGCGCCGTGTGACGCGGCTGCGCTGTCTCGCCTGCTGCAGCGCACAGCCGAGCCCTTTGCTGCGGTTACAGCGAGGCGGAGGTGTCGGCCAGAAAGGCCGCCCGTCTGCGAGCGGCCTCTTCGTCTCCTGCCCTGGTCGAGACGCCCCCCCCAGCTCTCTTACAGTAAACGCGGCTATTGCAGCGGCGCGGCCACCGTGCACAGGAGGTGCTGAGCTGCTGCTGACCCCCCGGCACGGATACCAGAGCTCTGTGCACGTCTGTGAGAAGCCCAGTCGTGTGCGAGAGGTCCGGAAACCGTTTCAATGTGACACCACACCACAAGGTGTTTTCACATCACCAAAAGACCGAACTACTTCTGCTGCCCTCTCCTGAAGGGGAACTGGGCCCCAGCAGAGCACAGGCAGGCTGTGAGATTCATATAGACTGCAAAGCACCCTGCTCAATCATGGAGCGGATAATCTCGTCTTGTGTGGCACAAGTAAATGTTGTGTTTTTTGCTTTATCCTGCACTCATCCCTAAGCACTTTTAGATGATTTTTTAGAGTGGTGGACCTGCTGCATGCTGCCAACTGATCTTGCGAGAGCAGGACTGGGATCGCTGGTCCCAAAACGATTCAGCCACCAGTCTGTGCTGGAGGCGATGGTGGCTGTCTGTGTTCACTGTCGGTAAGCTCATCGGGGAAAAGCCAGCCCACCCCCCCCATGAATGGGGTTTCCCACCTGCAGAGACTGCCCCCTCCCTCCCTTGTGCACATGCAATCGAAGAGTGTGAAGTAACCTTCCTCTCCATCGCGGGCTCTCAGGACATCACAATGGGAAGACAGCAGTAAACACAGGGCAGTTCGCAACAGAGACCACACTGCCTTCACAAAAAGCACATTACTTCCACATCTGAGATCCCATATGAACCTTGTCCCCAAGTATTAACGCACACTGTATAAACACCAGTAATAAAGGCCGTTGGCATCGTGCAACAAATTTAACACTTCCTTTATTTTGCACTGCTGTGATATGATTAGCTCACGGTGTTCACCTCAAAAAGCCATTGCCCCAAAGGAAGTGACTCATGAAGACCTCATGAACCCGAGTCTGGCTCTCTCATCAGATTCATTGCTGCTATTTCAGAGTGTCATGACCACACGTTTCAAAGCCACCAAATGTGAAAACCGTGCAAGGGTCTGAACACTCTTGCAAAGCACTATATGTTATGAGCATCACCAATTTACCCAAAGCCCCCATTAATATGTTGTACTATCATCATCATCTATTATATATATTTGACTATTATAAATCTGACTCGTGCTAAAAAGGCTTAGCTTGGGTGAAAAACAATCTTGTCATTCCAGAATCATAAGATGTAGCTAAAACGTCAGATGAATTTCACTACAGAATTCTGTCAGAATGAAGAACGTTGGGTGAAAGAAGTGGAACAATGCAAGATGTCAGAGACAGCAGTATATATATACACATCTTGAACCTATATTGTATATTCCCTAAATACAGTAGGCACTCTGAATTAGTGCATTGTGGAAAAAGTAGACATAATCCATAGGGAAGGAACTGCCAGGCAGAAAAGAGCTTTCAGAAAGTAACAGCTAAATCATTTTGTAAGAAATACTGACAAACAATCCCGAATCTACTCTACCCTGCAGGCTAACTTACAAGAACAGTGAGTGAAAAAGGACATGTAAAACCGTTCTGGACGTGAACTCGCCCACCACACAAGGACAAATGAACTGCGCAGTCTCTCTTTTGCAGCTTTACAATTTTATTTAGCATAATTTAAAATCGATTTACCTGTTAGTTCTTTTTATACAAATACATTGTTAAAAAAATTCTACAAATCAAGTTCCCAGTGTATAAATTTAGTACCACACACCGCAGAGGAATGATCTGAGGCACTTGCTGTGGGACACTCAGTCATCCATCATTTTGACAGCATTTCTACAGTTATGTCAGTTAAAAAAAAAAAGAGAGAGAAAATGACAAACTGTCTTTCACTCATTCATTCAGACTCAACACAGACATACTCTGGCATACTCAGCATTGGAAAAAGAGATATGTCATCTGATGAAAATGCACCGATGCAGCCTGAAGTACCTTCCTTTCCTCGTTCGCCAAGAGAAGACTCTCTCATTCCTCCAATCCCCCTCCCGACATTTAAGACAGGAGTGGAGACTGGCCCCTCCCATCACTACCACAGGTTCCTTTGAGAGGCTATAGAACTACTCGGATCCCTGAACACAGGTCAGGCCCTTGCCCAATCTCAGCAGCACACAATGGCTTCAGTTCTGCCTGGGGGAGGTGGCGATGAGTCTGCTCTCACACCTTCTAAAGAAGCCCTACCATTTCCTGGATACCCTCTGTTTGCAGTGACATCAGCGATAGACGGGTCTCTGCAGAATTTCTAACGCGTCAGAGAAGAACTCCAGGAGTCCTGTACCTGCTGCAACAGTTTCAGATCTCGTTTCTGCTCCGCCACACGGGGGATACTCTGTGCAGGATTTACTCTGGATTCAGCATCTTCTTGGGCATCGTCCAGCTAGATCACTCTCTTGCAAAATAAAATCGCAGGGGAAGGGGGCGGGGCCGAACTGTGCAGATTAATTTACATTTACACCCCACTTTCTCTTTGACAATTAAATGACCAGCCTAACACTGCAGGACACGCGGTATATCCTTCGTGCCCTTTCCTGGTTGAAACTCCGACTGGGATCGAGTTGGTGTGATAATGGATCGGAAAAATTGCCAATCGATTTACTACCTCAAACGGTAAACGGAAGAAAAAAAAAAACAATGGTCTAAGCAGTGTGCATGAAAAGAGCACATTTGAGAGTGGTGCTATTGCAGCCAAACTGACCACAGGACATCCTGTAGGCCACATCTGCCCGCATAGTGATTGCGGCAACAGAAACTCAAATGAAGTGAAACAAAAGCCATAGACTATTATAATATATGGTACGGCTCGATACAGTGCTTCTTCCAGATTAACGATACTGGGATGAGAATGAGACAAGGGCACGAACATTTTCCCCCTACAGAAACCACAGACACCGAAATGAAAAACCTGCTGGGAGAAAAGTCAACACAAGCCAGGGGAGGACTAGTATCTGACCAGACTATGCAGAGCCAACAGTTTTTTACATTCGGTAAGTGAATCAGCTGTTCGGACTTGACATGGGACGATTTTAATGCTCAGACGTGCAAAAGTCATTGATCACATTTCTAAGGGAATGACGACTACAGAGTACCAAGGGCCAGACGGCTTGCCTTAAAAACGGAGAAGTCTCCTGCTCTCCGTCAGGCTCCAACAAAAGCATATACCCAAGTGATCCTTGATGGGCAAGCTAACAAGTCCTGATGGTGGCACAAGGTAGCTACGTAACCAGGGCTCTGTGGAACAAGACCAGGAGTACTGCACCCTTGTGAAGCCTGGTGCATCTGTGAGCTGTGTCTGGGCTCAGCACCACACAAACAGGCCAGAAACAGCAGATCCGTCTGAAGAACTCAGGTTGTGGAAAGACAAGCAACCGAAAGCACTAATATCCAGGAACACGCCAAGGAACAGGAGAGGGAGGAAGAATAGGGCCCTGTGGATTTGTTCCCTGCAAAATGCAAATCGCAGATTTCTCTACCGATGCCAACATGCATGAATAAGAAAGCCAAAATAAAGGCAGAAGAGCGCGATGGGCGGATGGATTAAAGGAACCCGTCTTCACTTCCTCATTCTTCCTGTGTGAGTACAGGAGTCAATGTGATGAGCCAAGACCTACATTCGCAAGAGACTCCAAACTCGGTAATTGCCAAATGGGTAGGTATGCATTAGGATTAACTGGGGACTGAGGGTAAATAAAAAAAAAAAAACAGTCCTGTGCCACTCATAAAAGAGTCTACCTATTCAAAAACTCCAAAGAATAGCTGTGACAACAGAATTTGGTACTAGCACAATAGCTGAAAGGAGGGTTCTGTCACGTTGCCAGCCGAGTATTAACAGTGTTTCTGTAGCACCTCCTCTTCAGCCCTGATCTGTTCATCCATCAGAAACTCGATCCTCGCATGGAAATATGATCATTCTCAAACAAGAGGAGCAGTAAACCCTGCTAGACCGCTCCATGGATAATCTTTGACTCTTACATTGGCTCAGCACATGCTGGCCAACTTCTCACTGCAAGCAGGTATCACAGTGAGCTCCCATGATTTCTCGCCGATTTAATCCTGAGAAAGTCTTGACTGTCTGACCTTACAATCAGAAGGGCCTTGATGCGTGCTTAAAACAAGAGCCTGTGTTGAACTTCAGAAGCAACGCTATCTTTGTCTGAAGGTCAGTCTCTTTCGGACAGATCCGGAAACTAATCCTATACCACAACCTTCACAAACAACCCCGTGGGGAGAGCTTCATTTTATCCAGGATCTTAAACTCCTAAGCACCAATTTGATATTATAGTCTTCGTCATTCCCTGATGCGTTTTGTAAACTAAAACCCTGGAGTACCTGACCCTGACAAGGATCGCGCAGTCGAGTCTGCAGCGACACCTGCCCTCCCGCAGTCCCGAGCCCTTGCACAAGACGGCGTACCCCACCCAGACTACAGGGGTTACTCTGCCGTCTGTCGTTCACCCCCAAGAGACCGGGTGAGCGGCTGGGTCCTTATCAGCTCAGCTGCAACCGGAACAGAGCTTCCCACGCCAACCCGCGCGTGCAAACGGTTCAATCCACTCAGAACGCCACCCCAGCTGCAAGCTGCAAGGTTTGAACCCGGCAAATATTTGACGCCGAAACGAAGCCACAGGAAAAGAAGACTCGGGCCAGGTTTAACAGTCGGAAAAGCACCTCTTGACATCTTCTTCTGCGCAGGCACTAGTGGGGGCAGCTGCAGACCATCCGAGAGGAGCACAGTTTGGGAAGTCTACAACCTCAAGAGCTGCATTCTCTCTCTAAGCTCCGATGTGCGGTCCCGATGAAGCAGGGCACCCGCAGTCAGAGCCCAGACTGGGACACAGGCCTGTGCACGCCCCCCAAAAACACAAGCAAACATGCAATTAAGCCTGCCCACAGCTCTTAGACTAAAGTGCGAAATTAACACCCTCAGCGGCTCATTCGATTCCCTGCCTGCCCGGATCACGATCTTCCACGGCACCGTTTTCTCCAGAGAACAGCTCAGGAACCCCACTTGTATTTGCAGCATAGAAACCCGAAACTTAAAAGGCTTTCTGTTCCCTGCTGCCTGCCGTGATCCTGGTTTCTTCTGGTGCCCATGCAGCAGGAAAGCAGTCCGGCTGTAGGGTTCGGTCGCACTGCAGTGCGCGTCATGTCTTGACATGACAGGACAGGGCAGGGCACGACTCCACCCTTCCACACAGGCACGGGGAGGGGAGTGCGGAGATAGGGCAAAGGCAGCTGCATTACCAGCTGCAGAGTAAACACTGCTGGTAAGCCAACGCTGAGAATCGTATCGGCGGATGAACGCACTCTAACGGGGGCGCTGACACTGAGGCCGCTGCGGGGGCACTGAAAGTGAAACCTCCGCGCGATCACGCCAGTCGTGCTGCTGGGGGTAAAGGTGAAGAGGAGGCACAGGCGGAGTTCCTGCCTGGTGATCACAAACTCCCCTAGGCGTGGGGCGGACTACGGGAGGCCTGGCCGTGCTATCTTTTAGAATCCGCACAGTCTTTCAGATCTGTGCAGCTTTGCTCCTGGGGCCTCCATCTGGAGCTCCCAATGAGCCAAAGGGGAGATTATAAAAACCTTGAGCTACCTGCCCCCACACCTCTACCTGCACATCTGAAACAAAGAGAAAGAGCTCCCCTGCACATCATCACAAACACTATACAAACACTGTACAATTAAGGCTACAGAGCAAAAAGGCACTTGGAACCTTTTGAAAATGCAGATCACAAGCAATAGGCAAAATAAGTGCACTTTCGTCCTCCAGGACAGTTTGGTCAAACGTTGCCTCTCCTGTCCATCTGTAATCCCATTCAGAGGGAGGATTAGGAGAACAGCAGGCAGAGCAGAGAGCAAACATCGCAGCCTGGTCAGACACTCTGTGAATTGAAATGAGGAGGAGACACCGCCAGGGAAGTGGTCAGTGTCCAGATCAGACTGAAGCTGGACACTGAATGACCGTGCTATAACCTTTCACAAGTGGTTACAAAAGACCCAGCAGCTAGAAGTCTAAAGCCACAGACATCTGTATGACATATACATGAGCACAGGCGTTGTTCCTGGCCTGCCTATTAAATACTCCAGACACCTATGTATCTGCTTTTACATGTCAATCGCAATTGAGTGTTTCGAATACATGAATGTCAGCAAAAACCTAGACCACTGTCACGGTCCCTCTCTCGACACCCTGAGCAGGGTTTAAACGTCAAGAGACTTCCCAGATCCTCTCCTCCAAGGCCCCAGCACCAACCCAGTGTTTACTCACTGTGAACTTCTGTTTCTCAGCCAAACTGATCAGCTGCCTAGCAGGACGAGGCTAACACTGATAATTCCAAAGCAGAGCTGACAAACCCCAGAGCTCAAAACTCCAGTGCTGTTCCATTTCATCCCCCCCGCCAGGCCAAATTATTTGAATCAGAAGTCTGCTTTTAAGGCTTTATTAGCAATTTGCTAACTAGGGTGTACCTTCAAAGGTTCTGCAGATTTTACACAAATCTCTCCCTAATGTACTGGACCTGCTCATCCCTGATTTAAGAGGTTCTGGTTAAGCATGTAGGACTGGGGCGATCAAAGGCCGGAGCAGATGGCCAGACTTCACACACACACACACTCGTCAGAGAGAGAAGCCCACAGTGTCCCCAGGTGACAGACCCGTCAGTCCATCTCTCATCACAGTCTCACCCAGCCAGTCCAAACCCTGAGCTTCAGACGCACATTGATTCTTCGACATAAAACAGTCATTTGGCTAAAAAAAAAAAACTGCATATAAAAAACTGTTTCCAGAAAGGTGAAATTCATTTGGAACTGATAATAAAACAAGCACATTCCTAAAAATAAAGCATAATACATGATTTCAATTGTTGTGTTTGCACATCGCAGCCCAAGACCAGATTAAACTCAGCCCCCTCTGTCTGCCAGTCTGATTTAACACGGCAGGCATCAGCGCGCTGGGCTGCATGTCAAAAACTGGGGGTTCGCAGATGGGAAAACAGGGGAATGTTAACTGGAACTGGGAAAAAAAAACAACAGATTTGGTACGCTCTGTTTCAGCACTGAAGAAACACTGTCCGGTTCCACACCTTCGTAAGTCGCTATTCTGAAGTCACGTCGGCTGCAACGTGCATCAGAGAAAACAGGTGGTTCCTTTGCCTGAGGTGGTGTACCCCAGTGGGATTCGTGATCAAAAATCCCTAAAACTAGTGGGAAACCGATTTAGAAGACTTGCTCTTTAAGCGGGGACAGATGGATAGTAGGGGGCCGACAACAGCTCCTATTCCGCCCCGATCGGAGGGGGATCTGTGCTGGGCTGCAGGGAAGACCTCCAGACTGCCCCCCCCGTTTCAGTCAAACCTAACACTGTAATACCTTACCCCCTCCACCCCAACCCCCCCCGTCGCGCACAGCCGCGAGTGGGGGACTTGAAAGACTGGCACAAAGGTCCTTGAAGAGAGAGGAAAAAGGCACCCAGTTAAAGGGACAGGCACGTGACCCCAGTGCCGGTGGTGGCGGTGCTGTGTTCGAGGGGCAGCCGCTGCTCCTGACGCACTGCGGCTGGGCCCGAGACCAGCTGGGGGGTTCGGTGCTGCTCCAGTACAGGCCCGTTCCAAGCACCTCGCTCTCTCCACCGGCAGCTCCACAGACACTGTTGCCCCTAGGATCTGGGGTACAGACATAACACGGGGGGTCGGGACTGAGGAAAATGAGGTCCCCCCCCCCTCCTCCTCACGGAAAAAAAAAAAGTGGGTGTGTGTGGGTACACCGAGGTCTGGTTTTTTTTTGGTATTTCACTTTTCTTTCGTTCTCGCGTCCTCTGGGGTTTCGATTTCGAGAAAAAAAAAGCAGTAAATTGCGAGGCGGAAGAGGGCGTGGCGACCTGTGCCTGCTCAGCCCCCTGCTCTGACCCCGGCGCCTTGCCTACACGCGTCAGTGGTAAAAAAAATCCTTGAAATGCAAATTATTCCACAATCATCGTTAAAAAGTGGGGGGGTGGGGGGAGGGGTTGCAGACAGGACATGAGAGGGAGTGGGAGGGGGGCGTGCCCGAGCCTCAGTCCGACTGCGCCCCCTCCTCCGGCACTATAACAGGACGCACTTTTTGGCGTTCTTCTTGGCCACGGGGTAGAGCACGGCGCGCACGGCCTCCGCGAACACCTCGCGCACGCCCTCCTGCTGCAGCGCCGAGCACTCCAGGTACTTGACGGCGCCGACCTGCTTGGCCAGGGCGCTGCCCTGCTGGGGCGTGGTGGGCGCCAGGCCCTGCTCCTTCAGCTTCTTCACCGTCTCCCCGTCGGCGCGCAGGTCCCGCTTGGTGCCCACCAGGAGGATGGGCACGTTGGGGCAGTGGTGCGACACCTCGGGGTGCCACTTGTGGCGCACGTTGGCGTGGGAGGAGGGGCTGCCGATGGAGAAGCAGATGATGAAGACGTTGGTCTGGGGGTAGGAGAGTGTGCGCAGGCGGTCGTACTCCTCCTGGCCCGCCGTGTCCCACAGGTTCAGGCTGACGGTGCGCCCGTCCACGCTCATCTGCGCGCTGTAGTTGTCGAAGACGGTGGGGATGTACTCCTCAGGGAAGGCGTTGGTCGTGTAGGAGATCAGCAGGCAGGTCTTGCCCACTGCCCCGTCCCCAACCACCACACACTTGATGGTCTGCATCTTCCCTCATTCACTCCGGCTCCGGCACCTGGGGGAGACAAGTCTCAGGGAATCAGGGAATGGGGAATCAGAATACTGGAGAAATCAGG